ATGAATGCGAGGAGTTGGAGAGACAGAGGAGGGGAAAGCACTTGCCTGTACGAGATCAACCCGAGCTCAATCTTCAGCACCACATAGGAGTAATCCCTGAGCACAGCTCCAAGAGTGAGTCCTGAGTAATACAAGGCACAGTTTCCCACCCCCATCCTACCCCTGAAAGGAATGTCATGCCTTAAATATGAGATGGTAACAAAAGCAATGATTCTTACTTGTAACATACATATTGTACTTCACATGAGTGTGTGGGAAATAGTTAAATGTCCAAAATCCAGAAGAGAAAACAGACTGTGACTTTTACTGCCATCTGTGCGCTGGGGTAATTTTTCAGGTGTCAGTCAACCTGGAAGTTATTATCTATATCTCTGCTAGAATCCAGGTGATCCAAGGGTATGTCTAGTGCCCAAACTAGAAAGATCATTTTCAGGTAGGAAGCAGCTGCTCCAGGCACTTTCCCAAGATCTTTAGGGGCTACAGAGCTTCTTTTGTTGCTTGTCTTACATATACACTGAGCACCAAATCCGGAAGAACTATTATCCGGGCCATAAAACTGCACTAGATAAGAGTTTGGGCTTTAAAATCAATCTGAGTAATTGCAGTGAGAATAACTAAGAGGTTTCTGCAGTCAGACAGAGGTACCATCTTGATTTGAACTATTACAGACAAGGCGGTATGTGGAAGGGTCTTCTAAAGACAAGGAAGCAAAGAAAGAACAAGACACATACGGCAACATTTCCTTGAGTTGCGTCATATTGAGGAATTTGCCAGCCAGTGAAGAGCGGCACGAATTAATCCTACAGACGCTCATGTAATATTTGTCACAAGGAGCTTGTGTTTATGCATGGAGTTCTGTGTATCTATCACTTAATATCTCGATTCATGCTTCGTGTTACTGATCAAAAGCAGCCACCGAAAGCACATTGTTGATAAGGAATCAGTGGAGGCTCGACTCAAAAGCATTTTCCATACAAGCCTTGAAGACAGAGAGAAAACTGTAGCTTTGGGCAGAGGTGAAGATTAGCCATTTTAATGTCAAAGTTTAGGCTTTATTTGGAATTACATTATATATGGCTCTTTGCTGATTCGTACAGTTATTCTCATTAATCTTCTTTTGGGATTAAAAAACTTAATGCAAACTTTGAAGTTCAGGACTGGAGAGATTGTATCAGGCAGAAGTCCCCTGCCTTGCTTGTTACCAATCCCAGTCTGATCCCGAATGCCACTTATGGCCTCCTGAACTCCACTAGGAATGCCTGAACACAGAGACAGAAGTAGACCCTGAGCACTCCCATGGATGGCCCAACCCCCTCCCCCTCTCAAAAGAGAGTTTTAAGTCCAGGAAATTCTTTAAAGTGTTGTTTAAGATAATTACTTGGGGGAGTTGGAGAGACAGTACAGTAAGTTAGGGCGCTTGACTTGCAGGCAGCAAACCCAGGTTTTATCCCTGACACTCCATATGGCCCCCTAAGCCCCACTAGGAGTGATCTCTGAGCACAGAGCCAGGAGTAAGCCCTGAACACAGCTGGATGTGTCCAACCTTCCCCCTCACCACCAAATTTTTTTTTTAAATAATCTGAGACAAGTTGGTCCTTACAGCAATTGCTTTCAAAAATGACAAGGCCCAGAAAGCGCACAGATGATCAGAATGTTGCTTCCAGCAGCGTCTGAATGGGCCACAGATGGGGGGAGAAAATTACTGTGTGACAGTCATTGCAGCACTTGGTACAGTAGGCAGGATATGGAAATAACCTAAATACCCAATGGCAGATGAATGGATACAGAAGTTGTGGTTATACACAGACAATGGAATATTATGCAGCTCGCAGAAAAGATAATTCTTGCAGTTAATTGCAGCTTGGAGAATATCATGTTAAGCAAAATAAGTCAGAGAGAGAAGGACAAACACCAGATGATCTCATTCATATAGAGAAAAACAAAACAAAGAAGTAGTCTTGAATGACGACAAACCCTTGGCCTTAGATTACAAAACTGAGATTACCAAGGAGGAGGGGTGTGGAGAAGGGAATAAAAAAGATGGACAAATGGACGATGATGCAGGGCCATGTGTGTTAGGGAAGTGTAATAACTGTATACATCAGAACTACGAATGCTAACACTATTACCTAAATGACGGTAATTTTTTAACAAGTTGATTTCGTGTCTTACTCTCCATCCCACAGGAGTAAGAGGACAGTTCTATGAAGCAGAGCAGCAATTCAGGCCTCTGGGTGAATTACGAACAAAAGAAACAGAACAAATACTTTCTTGGAAGACCAACTCACAATTGGCATGTCTTGTAGACTCGACACTTCTTGTTCCAAAAAATCAAGAAATGCCTGAATGCGCCTCATCTGAGCAAGACAAACGTGTTCTCGAGTTAAAGATGAAGAAGAAAGAGAAGTTTTGCACAGGCAAGATGGGCAGACAGATTGGGGCCTGTGCAAAAGGAGGGTGCTCACCCAAAGAAAAGCAACGTGGCGACAAAAGTGCTGGACCAAGTTCCGACCAGCTGACTTTGGGGCTGTGCTTGTCTCGCTGGAAGCCAGCTTTGCTATTGAATCAAATTTCTGATCTTCCTTTTTATTGCCTAGTTGGAAGAAGACACCGTTTCAGAACCTGATCGGTCATTGTATTTAGCAGACACCGAGCGACATTCACTGCTACCCCCCTAGAACTAAGAGCCGAAACTTGGACGTCAGCCACGTGCCAGGCCTCATACTTACTTTGTTCCTCGTGTTCTCTTATTTAATCCTCACGGCCTAACAACAATAATATTCAGCACAGAGAGGACTTGATATGTGCCAGGCACTGTTCCCAGAACTTGACAAACAATCATTTGTTTAATATTTACAACGGTCCAATGAGGTAAACACGAATATGAACAGAGAGCACAGAGGCAGGGCGGCCTGCTGAGGAGCATGCACAGCTATTAGCTGCAGAATTGGGACAGGCTGGGGGGCTTGGACAGCGTGCAAGGGATGGAGCATGTGCTTTGCGTTGCCCTGGGTATGACCCTCAAACCTGAGAGAGAGACAGAGAGAGAGAAAGGAAGGAAGAAGGGAGGGAGGGAAGAAGGGAGGGAGGGAGAAAGGAAGGAAGGAGGGAGGGAGGGAGGGAGAAAGGGAGGAAGGAGGGGAAGATGGAGGGAGGGAGGGAGGGAGGGAGGAAGGGAGGAGGGAGAAAGGGAGGAAGAAGGGGAAGATGGAGGGAGGGAGGGAAGGAGGGAGGGAGGGAGGGAGGAGGGGAAGAGGGAGGGAGGGAGGGAGGGGTAAAAGAGGGAGAGAGGGAGGGAGGAGGGGAGAACAAAAGAAAGAAAGGAAGGAAAGAAGAAAGAAAAAGGAAGGAAAGGAGGGAGGGAGAGAGGGAGAGGGAGAGGGAGAGGGAGAGGGAGAGAGGGAGGAAGGAAGGAAGGAAGGAAGGAAGGAAGGAAGGAAGGAAGGAAGGAAGGAAGGAAGGAAGGATGCAGCAGCTGACCTGGTTCAATCCCCAGCACTCTGTATGGTCCCCAAGCATTGTCAGGAGTGGTCCCTGACAGAGCCAAGGGTAAAAACACTGGTGTGAATACTGGTGGTGGGTGTGGCTCAAGACTCCAAAATGGTTTTTTTTTTTTAATTTTTAAAAAGAAAAAGACATTGCTGTGTAAAAGAAGAAAAGCTAGAGGTCACTAGCTCAGAGTCAGTTCTAACTTAGAGTCAGGATCTGAACCCAGTTCTGTCTAGATTTCAATAATTAAGCTATTTATACACCGTGGAATACCATGCAACTCTAAGAAATGATGAAATCTTGCATTTCACTGTGATATAGATGGAAATAGAAAGTATCTATCATGTTAAATAAAATAAGTCAGAGAGAGAAGGACGCTGTGTGATATAATTAATCTAGGGTATAAAAAAACAGTATCGAATAATGACAAGCCCTTGGTCCCACATTAAAAAACTGAGTTGACCTAGTGATGGGCAGAGGAGTTGATTAGATTTTAGGCAGTGGAGTACGGTGATGCAAGGTCATCAGTGGAACTGGTAAGTGTATAATAACTAGACATCAATACCGTACATGTTAACACTGTTGCAAATACATTTTACCTTGAATATAGCAGTTTGGAAAAAAAATCTAAATTTTCAGTCACTTTCCTGGACTGCCCTAGGTTAGACCAGAAAAAAAATTGCCTTCTCCTATTTATACTTTACCCCCAAAAATATAGCTGCATAATATAAGCTTTAGGATTTAAGGAAATTGGAGGTTGCATACTTAATATGTTTACTTTTTATATATTAAAAAGAAAGTCTGAGTTTTTAGTTCTCCAATCACCAGTGATTGTTTTGTTTGTTTGTTTGTTTGTTTGTATTTTTTAAACTGGGATACTGTCAGGATTATTCACGCCTGCAGCTGTATCACTGAAAAGACTCAAGACAAAGTTTCTAAGCTATGTTACAAAGTCTCAGGTATGGATGACCTGATTTACCAGCATCTCAACAGCGGATTTTAAAGCTCTGAGATTTATTTTCTAATTTGGTGGATTGCGTCCTGCCCAGGCTGCAGCTTTGATTCCTCCCACTCCTTGGGAGGGTTAGGATGCAAGCCATGAGTAGAAGTGTCTGGGATAAACTGGAATCTGAACGCGTTCCATAGCAAAAAAAAGAATGCTTTTGGATTACTCAGGGTTTCATTCCCTTCACACCCCTCCTCTCACAGATTAAAGAGAATGAAGTAGCATTAATGTACAATGATGTAGCAATAAATGTAGCAAGTACATTTAGTGACACATTTATCTTTCTGTAAAACGGAAATCCCCCTATCTCTCAATGACACACACAGAATGCTGTGTTTTTCTGTGGAAGTAAACTCAAGAGTTCAAGGCAGACAACCATATTCTTTGAAAGTATGGGGACCAATTTGACTACAGAATTCAGAAATCGGGGGACCAGAGACAAATGAAATGGAGCATGTTCAAGACTATTAAAGGTGCCAGGATATTTCAGAGAAAAGTACCATACCTTGATATGAAAGCCAGTCTGCAGCCTTGTTCTGTTGATAAAATCATGCATTGGTATTCCCCAACCAATTTCGCCAACATGCTCGTGCTTGTATTTGGCTGGCAAGTTTATGTCGGGGGAAGGTCTCCATAAATAGTTGAGATCTCCAGTTTTTTCTACTGTCGTGTGCTTTTCTCCTATGTAGGAAGTGTACCGGCAAACTCGAGGTAGATGATCCGTTACATAATCCGGGCCTGAAGAGAAAGAAAAATGAGTTAGAAATTAAAAATGTACCATTTTTTGTTGGGAGGATCCTCCCAGGATGGGAGAAGCATGCTGAAAGTAGACTATAGACCAAACATGATTGCCACTCATGCCTCTTTTGCAAACCACAACACCCAAAAGGAGAGAGAATAAAAGGGAATACCCTGCAAAAGAGGCAGGGTGGGATGGGGGAATGGGGGGTGGGAGGGATACTGGGATCTGTGGTGGTGGGAAATGGGCACTGGTGGAGGGATGGGTATTTGATCATTGTATAATTGAAACCCAAGCACAAAAATGTGCAAGTCTGCAACTGTACCTCATGATGTCTCACTATTAAAAATTTTTTTAATAAAAAAAACCCGAAAAATTTGAAATAAATACTAAGACGTGAAAATGATCCAAAAAAAGTACCTTTTTAAAAATGTTTTATTACTTTAAAGGACAAATAATAGTCAGTGTTTATGTAGCATTAATTGTGTCCTATGTATTATTTTAGGACTTTAGATATGTCAATTCAACTAATTCTTATAATAACAAATGAGATAGTATCATTTCCTCTTGTTTAAATATGAGGAAAGGAAATCTCGTTCACTGATGGTGGGAATGCCAAAGGTCCAGCCTCTATGGCAAATGATATGGAGATTTCTCAAAAAATGTAGGAATGGAGCTCCCATTTGACCCACCTATCCCATTTTTAGGTATCTATCACCCAAACACAAGAACATTCCTCCAAAGAGATAACACATACCTCATTGTAGCTCTTAATGTAATAGCAGGGATATGGAAGCAACCCATGACCCATGGTAGAACAGAAAATGAATGTGGCACATATCCATAAATTAGCCATTAGTAAGAAAATCTTGCAGTGGCAGCAACTTGGATGGAATTGGGGGGAATCCCATTAAGTGAAAGAAGCCAAAGGCAGAAGAATAAATACAGGATGATCTCACTGAGAAAGAAATCAAGGGTCTAGACAATATCAAACAATGATAAACCTCAGAGACAGGAATACGAACCTGAGCATGCCAGGTTAGGGGGTGCAGTAGGGGGGTGGATAGACTTTGGAGAAGTAGCACAAGGGCATTCGAGGAGGGTCTTGGGCACCTGATAAGGGAGGTCACAGTCGGCACTAAAACCCTAACTATCAATGAACAAATCATGGGGCTAGGGTGGGAGAGAAGGAACATTTGGACCAGAGAGGACAAAGGGATGGGGAAGAAGGGTCCTGGGCACTTTGGTGGTATGGTGGGCAGTAACTTTATACATTAATGCTATAACCCTAAACTGTGAAAAAAATTAATAAAGATGGGGGAAAGGCCCAGGGATAACTCAGCAGTGGAACACCTGCCTTGTGAGCATGAGACCATGAGTCTGATCCTTGGCACCACCCGACATCCCCAAGCTGGATGGGGAAGAAGCTCAAGAAGATCAGCAGTTCAAGATTTCCATCCCCAGGGCACCACAACCAGGTGTGTGAGCGCCACAATGAAAGTGAGCAACCACTGACAAGGACAGACAACCACCTGGTCACAAAAAAAAAAAAAATAAATAACAAAGAGGGAAAAAAAGAAAGTCTACTTGGAGCAATAGCACAGCGGGTAAGGTGTTTGCCTTGCAAGCGGCGACATGGCCAACCCCGGTTTGATTCCTCCGCCCCTCTCGAAGAGCCTGGCAAGCTACAGAGAGTATATCGCCCGCACGGTAAAGCCTGGCAAGCTCCCCGTGACATATGCCAAAAACAGTAACAACAAGTCTCACAATTTGTTGCTCGCTAGAGCAAATCAATGAACAACGGGAGGACAGTGAGTGACAGTGACCCCCCAAAATAGTTATGAAAGAGTTTGCAGGCTGGGCTCTTCACTGCCCCCAACATTCAGTTTTCTGGGGGAGATTCCTCCCAAGCAGGAGGTTTAGGGGCCAATGATTCTCAGCCGACAGGACTATTGGCTCAATGCTACTCAGACTCTGCAGGGCCAGGGATAACAGGACACTGCAGCAGTGCTGGGGGACTCCAGGGATACACGATGACGTACAGGGCCCATGTGGCATGGGGATTTGAATGCTTGCCAGGTTCATGGTAGACTTGCTGTCACTAGTAATTGCCTGTATACGCTGAAAATTCTCAGGTGTCCTATTTACATGCCTGCTTTAGGTATCAGCTAGGCAGACTTTGAGATGAAAATCTGGAAATTATTGTCTGCCATAGAGGCAGGGGGAGGGGTGGGATGGGTTGGGGATACTGGGGACCTTGGTAGTGGAAGATGTGCACTGGTGGAGGGTTGGGTGATCAATCATTGTGTGACTGAAACTCAAACAGGAAAGCTTTGTAACTGTATCTCATGGTGATTAAATAATAGTAATAATAAAATAAAATTAACATTCTGAATTTTAAAAAAAGTAACGTGGAGTTCGTGCCCAATTCAATCAGCTTAACCAATGAATGGCTGAATAAATATCAGTACTCCTACATTAAAAATTAAAAAATAAAAAAAAGAAAAAGAAAATCTGGAAATTCCCCCAAATGGACCAGACTGTCAGGTGACGACAACTTTTGACACAATATCACTGAACGAATGCTGGTGTTTTGTTTTATTTCTATTGTGGTGGGACCACACCCAAGAGTGCCCTGGTGACCCTATCGTGCCAGAGATTGAACCCAAGGCACATGCTCTATCACTTCAGTTCAATCCCTGACACCAAATATTGTTTATTTTAAATGAAAGAAATGAACAAAACAGGAATCAGTGGATGGGGAAAGTATGTGAACCAGGTAAGACAAGAGAAGTTCCAGGCTTCGAGAGAAATAATGAAGTGGCTTAGATCACCTGAATGGTAAGATCAAAAGTTCGACTCCTTGTGCTGCCACATGCACTCACAGTGATCCTGCTAGCTCTGTGGTCTGTGGTCCCTGGCATTCCAGGTGCTTCTGGCGACCCCACAGTTGGATATGTGTAAACACCCCAACAGCACATAAAAGGGATACAACACACTGTCAAGCACAGCAACCAAGGCAGATGTGAGTTTCATGACCAATAAGTGGCATCCCTGACAATTATGTGTCTAAATCCCACAACCGTGTGTGTGTGTGTGTGTGTGTGTGAGAGAGAGAGAGTGTGTGTGTGTGCACGTGTGTGTGTTTGTGAGTTGTACTCAGGGCTGCACTTGGCATGATGCCCCAGTAACTGCACCAATCAAGGGAAGGGAAAGTAGAAAACAAAATAAAGCTTAATTTTTAAGGTTTTTGTTATCGTTTTTGTTGTTGTTGTTGTTTGGGACCCACACCCAGTGGTGACCAAAAATTACTTCTGGCTGGCTCTGTACTCAAGGATCACTCCTGGGGCTATATAGGGTGCTGGCAATCAAACCCAGGGCTGCCACTTGCAAGGTAAGTGCCTTCCCCGCTGTACTTGGTATGGTTCCTAAAGCTTAAATTTTTGAAAAAGAGAAGGAAGTGAGGATGTTAATATGTAGAAGGAAACAAAGACCATGTAGAAGACTCATCATGAATCAAAGACAGAGAAGATGCCGGCCCAGAAGTCACAGGATTCCGCAGAGCCATAGGGGCAGAGAGTGAATCACTGAGCAGAGAATGAACTTTCCCCCTGTTACCAGAACTTCACCGAAGATGAAGAAACAGAAGCTGTACTTGGTCACCACCGGGGTTTCTCCTGACCAGTTGACTCTGCATTGTGCTCTCAGATCAGAGAGCCCAGAATTTGTACAAGAACACAGCATGGGCTACGATTTTGGCAGCTACTTGGAAGGAATGTTCTAGATGCTAGCAAGTTTATCTTTACAAGGCACCCTGAGCTTTCCAAGGAAGCCAAAAACTCGAGAAATTTCTCTTGAGACACACGATGCGGGCAGATGTTTGCAGTGTTTCCCAACCACTGTGATGCCTGGCATGTAGCTTGTGGCTAATTTCCCTTGACAGAAATATCGTGGCTTCAGTTTTATTTGCTTCAGATTTTCACTCAGCTCTGACTCCTCTGGTGAAATACGGAATGATGTGAGCTAATAAAATGGTCCCTGACGAGTGCTGAGGTCTCAGCTCCAACCCTCTGGTTTTAAAGAGTCTTTTCTCAAAGAGAACGGATCACTGAGTCAATGATGGTTGGAGGAATTGATCAGGAGGGGAGATGTGTGCAGAAAGTAGAAAAAGGATCAAATGTGATAGCCTCTCAGTATCTGTATTGCAAATCATCATGCCCCAAAGTAGAGAAAGAGTATGGGGGAAATTGTCCACCATGGAGGCAGGGGGAGGGTTGGGATGGTGGGATATTGGGTACACTGGTGGTGGGGAATGTGCACTGGTGGAGGGATGGGTGTTTGATCATTGTATGACTGAAACTCAAACATGAAAGCTTTGTAAGTGTTACAAAAAAAAAAGGGAGTCTTTCCTCTCCTCCAGACAGGTCATGGTTTGGACTGTGCTCATCTGGCTGGAATTTCAGGGCATGTTGAGGCCAGTGCTTTCCTGTACGTTTCGTTAAACGCTGCTCCCAAGCATGTACCACGTGGCTGCATCAGGAGATGCTCCAGAACTCAAACATTTGGGAACATTGCTTGCTGTGTTACCTTTTCAATAGTCATAGCAAATGAGAGCATATTTTAAATTGTCTAGTACTTTTCCTACTCGTATGTGGGATATAGAGAGACCAAGTACGGGGACAAACCAAGGAGAGCAAACATGCCAACTCAGCACTGCACACTCTGTAACTCAGTTACCAGAAGAGGAAGTGGGAAGATGAGACACAAGGGATCCAGTGCACTTTGGTGGAGGGTTATTGTCCTTTGCCGGTGTCCCAAGATAACTGGTTTTGCTTTGTGGGGACACACCTTGGAGTGCACAGGATTTGTTCCTGGGGTTCTGGATTTATTACAGGTTACACCTGGTGGTGATCAGGGGAACACGTGTAGTGCTGGGGATTGAACCCAGTCAGCTACGTGCTAGGCAAGTGCCCTACCCACTGTACTCTCTCTCACTCTC